ACATAAACAATCAGCATTTTAAATGTAATTTTTACACGCACATATTTTTCCCACACAGTATAATTGTATATGAATACTCCGTGTCAGTTATTTTTTAAAAAAATTTTTTTCTTAAAAAAAAAAAAATCCGTGCGGCTGTGTCACTAGGCACCAGTTCATGATATGAAAATCAATTAATTAAATTTGTGTGGCCTTAGTAATTATTAATTTTTTAATAGCAAAGTTGCAGAGTTTGCAAAATTTGACCTATTTATTTTATAGAATTTCTATTTGCTATAATATATTTTATAAATTCAAATTTTATTATTAGTAAGATTTAAACTCTTGTTTTGCTACTTGAAGAGATTACAACTCACCAACTACACTAGATCACCATATTTCTATTATAACTTATTACTAAAGAATCTAAATTCTTAATAAGTTAAGGATCTAATATAAGGCTAATTGCAGCTAGATAGATTATACCAGAACTTGAAAACTTATAAAAAATTCAAATACTATTAAAAAAAAAATTTTATATAAAAATTTATTAAATATTGAATTTTTGTATAGTAAAATTTCAAATTTTAGTTTATTTTAGACTATACAAAGTTAATTAATTGTTTTTTATAATTTGACCAAGTCAAATTTTAAAAACTTTAAAAAAAATTTTATATATTTTAATAATTAGATAGAGTTTCAAAAAAATTTTTAAAAATTTTATGAAATTTTTTTGAAAATTTTATAAAAATTTTATAAAATTTATATATATAATTTTTTTAAAAAAACCAGTTAGCTAGGTTATTTTTAAAATTTAATATTATAAAAAACAAAAAATTAATTTTATATACTATACAGAAACCTAAATATTTTAATGTGCAGTAACTACATGATAATAATGTAGTTATTATTAAATTTAATAGTAACTATATAGTCACTATACAGTTACTGTGTATTAAGATATTCAAGTTTCTGTAAAGTAGCCTTATACTATATATCTATTTTGATTAAAATTATACAAACTTAAATTTGAATTGTTTATATATTTTTTGAAGTTCTATTGCACCTGGGCTCTAATGCTAAATAAGTCTTGATTAGTATAAAACTACAGTATAAAAGTTATATTTTACTTGTTAGTAATAATTTTTTGATACTTTTAATAAAATAATAAAGATAGGACTGTTGAATTAAAAATAAAAATAATAATAATAATAATTCTTTATTTTTGTTATACAGAATATTATATTTGATTTTTAATTGGCTAGTAAATTTACTAGTAAGTATTAAAAAAAATTTTTTTTTTTATACAAAATTTTAAAAAATTTTACTTAAAAAATATTTGATATACAGTATATATTTCTACTATTACACCCCATAATATTTTTAATATATAAGTTATAAACTATTTTTTATTAAAATTTGTAATACGTATAATATCTACAATATATTTTTTGGTTTTTTTTGGCTTACTTTGTTATAATTATATACAAGATTTTGTAATTTGATTGACTTTTATATAACTAGATCTAGGGGCAATACTCAATTTTTAAAAATTTTTAAATAATATATACATATATAAAAAAATATACTTCATATTAATTAATACGTACGTACGTATTTATATTTAACAGTTTAAAAAATAGTTATTAATTGTCGTACATTGAAATAAGGCCGGTCTGCCGACAATGAACAAATTAGCTAAAGCAAATTTATCAATTGTTTTTTCAAAATCGGCTAGACGAGAAAAAACTATTGCTTTGCCATTTCTAAAATTTCCGATGTGGAAAATAAACGATAATCGGACGGGATCACTAGGCTGGGGGTACAAATATATCTTATGCAACTATATCGATATATTTATTGATTGTACATGCTTTCACCAACACATTTTTTTTTACTTTTTTGAATTATGACTTGCGTGCAAGAAAGGATTAGAACCGAATTATTAGATGAAGAAGAGCAGGTATTTATTAAAATATTTATTTGTTTAACGAACGTGATTCACTAATTAATACATATATATTATATAGGCTATGTTAAACCAGGCTATTGCACTCTCCTTAATGAAAAGTAGTGAACATAGTGATATTGAAGACAGTCCACATCAGTCCCAATCCATTCCGACTCAAGCACTTACGCTTTTCGTGAGAAAAAACGACAACAATACAAATAACGCCGAAGATCTGTATGGAAACTTCGAATCTATTCCACGTTCAACGTCATTTGCAACGACATTGACTCAAGAGTCAACCTTATCTGGCCCAGATCTTTATGCTGATATAGAAAACGAGAGAACGAAGCCACGAATATATACTCATCGAAGATATCCGTATTCGTTTAATGATCTTCTGGAAGATATATGCAGGTAGCACCAGAATTAAACCTTGGTTTGATAAATATAGAAGTTTGTTGTGACTGACGTCATTTAATATAAATTGTTAGTTATCTTTATTTTCTTATCAAAGCTACCTGTCTTTCAATTGTTTTGGTGATTCTATCATTAATAGTATTCACGGTAGTCCAATTTTCGACTGCATTTCTGTCCGCTGTTAACGCTGAGCTTGAAAGCATAGCAACAGGTTTGTTGGAAGTTGTTAAATTTATAAACGTTATAATTACCTTGGCCTAAAAACTTTACGGATATTTAGGAGTCTCACGACAAGTACAAAAATGCACGCAAGATTATTATATAAATCAATGCGATCCAGAGAGTCGAGTGCCATTCTTGGAAGAGAATTGTACATTTTGGGAGAAATGTATGGATCAGGATCCGTACAATGTAGTGACTAGAGTAGAAGTGATTTCTGGAATGATTGCACGTCTAATTACGGCCTTTGTTAGTAAACTTACCTACGAAACAATGATATTTATTTTCATCTTCAATATAATATTCTTTGGCACAATTTTACACAGGTTTACGTAGGTAGAGTTTAGAACCGGGTTATAGTAAACCGGGTCACCCGTGTCAAAACGGTTCAACCGGGTCAAAAATTTACAACTCGGGTCAAAACGGTTGAATATGTAACCTCTAACAATCTGTTACTAATACACAGAAAACATAACAAAATTTAACACATTATAATTGTATTGTGAATAAACAAGCAAAATGGAAGTTTGTTTTTATTGGCCGAATGTTTGTCATGTATGTTACACAAATTGAAGCGCAAATCACATGATTGACATATTTTATTAACCAATAAAATGTCAAATAATTTATCAGTGCATAATTAATCAAACCATTTATAAATTCTGTTGAAAGTAGAGAAAAAAAGGAATGCAGTCAGTATGTTGTTAAGAATTTTGTAAAGATATATGTATTGATAGAAATTTTTATTTTTTTTTTTTAATATTTAAGGTGAGATTATGCCTCTGGTTTTTATTAACATATACTTAGATATATCTTTACATATATGCTAATATAGCATTACAGAGATTTAGACTAATTTATTTATGACCTAAACCTATTAGAGTGGTTTATGCTTCACACATGTTTCACTTAGATTAACACTTCTCAATTTTTCTCTATGAATGTCCTAATCTCTTACTTATTTGCCCAAGTACTACTAATCTGTATTTCAAGCCAGGCTTTGCTATCACCACTGGTTTGCCATCTCAGAACTTAATGTTCTTTTTCTGATATAGTGGTACTAACTAATCTATTTGTACTTCCTCACATGGTATATTACTAGAACTATATTGTATAGTTGTTTTAATGACCTATTTTGTTAAAGACCAGCCTAATATTATAAAATTCTTTAAGTAGCAAGCAATTCTACTTCTAATCATAGGCATTGTATCATGCTATTAGGAGGCATACTCCAATTCACCTTGACTTTTAACTTAACTTTTCATCATTGGTTAGTGTTGTATTATTGTTAGTGTATTCTGGCTTCTTTTGTCAAAGATTTCTATTGAGGTATGGTCAAAGCTCTGACTTAGTTCCTTTATATATACTAGATTAGCTCACCTGCTTCTATGAATTACCTTTTTTTAGCTAGATGTTCCACAGTACTAGAGGTGCTTCTTGTTTAGGTAAGGCCAATCCTTTATCACAACTTTTTTACATGTTTGCTGTTTCTCTCACTATTCCAGTTTCGGTAGTATTGTATTACTTTCTCAAGCAAAAACCTAGTATTATTTCTAAATTAGAACTAATACGCATGATCTATTGATTATCCTTCTAAGCAAGTACTCCACAAGTTGGATGCAAGGATGTTGGTATTGTCTAATATAGAGGTGAAGGAATATTGGTGTTGCCTCTGAGTCACTCTAACTAAAGGACTAACTCACGTAATCTTTTATAGCTTAGACCTTTTGTGATGTCGCTATTACACATGATGCTTGTACTTCATTATCAGAGCTCTTTCTAGGAATTCTTATTCCAAAACCATACTTGTATTTGGACTTTTCACAGAGCTTTGCATCCAATTATAGCTCTATTAAAGTTATAGTAACAAATTCGAAATTTGCTACCAGCCTAACTTGAACCATCAACCTTGTCTGTGAAGGTTTGGAAGCTTAACTAATAAGCTACAGGACCTAAACCTATTAATAAAAATATTACTGTAATATGAAATTTAGAAGTATTATAAATTTAAAATATAAGAGTATTTGTATATTTGGTTTGGTTAATAAGAAAAAATATATATAAATATATTAGTTTAAATTTTAGGTTTTGAAATAATTTTTAGTAATTATTGGTTTAGTATTGATTAGTAAGAAAGAAATAAAGTCTAGTCTAGTCAAATTAATAATAATTTAAAAATATTTTTTAATAGAATAAGAAGAAATAAAAAGATAGAAATTAAATATTTTTAAATAATTGAAGTGTTAAAAGAAGGTAGTAGTGAATACTAATAGTAGTTTTTTAAATTTTAAGAATAATATTAATTGATGATTCTCCAGTCAACAGAAGAAAAATTTTTTTTTATATATAAATTTTACTATCCCTTAAACTGTAGGCTTTTCCAGACAAATTTGCCTGGAAAATTATCATAAATATTGTTATGATCTACTTTTTT